CGGCGGGAGAGGAGCGGCCAGGAACAGCTGAGAGGAGCCAGGAGCCGCCGAGAAGGAGCCGTGGAGCTAGGAGGAGCAGGGAAGAAGCAGGGGCTACCCGAGGGTCACTACCCCACTCCCCCTCACTGGCCACCCCGTCGCGCCCCGCCCGTCCACACGGCGCTGGAGGCGGGGCGGTTATCAGTCCAATACGGCGATAAGGAGACACGGCCGAGGGGACGCGCAAAAGGAACGGCGCCACGGCGCCCCACCACGTTTCTATGAAGCCACTTTTATCATCTTTGCAAAAATGTGATGCCACGCCCCATATAGCCAGCACCGCCGCCATCTTCCTTATTCCCTGAATCTTTTTCTCTACTTGTTCTTTTTATTGTTTCTTTTTTAGCGGCGGGTCCGGTCTCATATCTGTCTCTCACCGCCGCTGCGCGCACCTGCGGCCGTCCACCGCTCAGCATGTGATGCGACGCCGGGACCTACATAAGCACCCCGAGGTATGCGCGAGAGCGGGCGAGAGCGGGCGCTGCAGCCGCGGTAGCGCATTCCGAAACAAATTGGCGCGGCGAGCTATCCCGCTCGTGTGTGTGTGTGTGTGAGCGGAACAGGTAGGTAGGTGGCGTCCAGATCCTCGTCCCGCGAGCTACAGCAGCATTGCCGCAGCATTTGCCGCTCAAACCATAACGCCATTTGTTGGGTGCATTCATTTCAGAGAGCGACGGCACTACGCGGCGGCATCTGGCAAGAGAGAGAGAGAGAGAGAGAGAGAGCGATGGGTGCAGCGGAGGGAGGGATTGCACAGTCGATTACCCTGGCCGAGGGGCAGTGACGCTAATTGCAGTGATTGCAGAGAGGCGTACCTACACAGCACAGCGCGCGGCCCGTGGCCACACACGCGCCCCACTGGGCAGAGGAAGCCCTTTGCGGGCCACGGCTCCATCCAATACAACCCAAACAACCTGACATGGGAGAGCCCCACCACCACTGCTCTCAGGGTGGTAGAGACGACGATGGAATCCCTTTCATGCGTGCCTATTTCCGCATTTCGCAGAAAATCAATCACTTGCCAAATCTGCGGCCGTTTTGAGTGCCAACAACTATTGCAGATATTGCCATTACTTTCATGTAAATGATGAAAACAGAGTGTGGCAGAAATGAGAAATGTGCAAAACTATTGACATGCAGAGAGGCCACAGGTATTCGCTATTTGTATCGGTGAAAATTACGCGCGCGGCGTCATGATCCAGTGATCGACATGCGCCATTCCGCAGTTGCCTTGCCAGTGGCATGCAGTGAGTGGCGGACAGGGATTTCGTTTCGTTTCGTTTCACCGGAATAATTTTTTTTTTCAACGATTTTTTCATTCATCATCTTTCACGCCACGCGCCACACCGTTGGTCGCGTCCAACTCGCGTCCCGCCCACGGGCCCGCTAATAATGCGCCGGCGCGTGTTCTCGCGTTTCATGAATACGAAGTTTGTCCGAACCGAACTGGCGGGGCTGGCGGGGCTCACGGGGCTGCTGGCAGGGGCGGAACGGCGCGGCGACGTGACGCCCAATTCTTTATACTGCCTTCGTTTTGCTCTCTGCTGCTGGAGGCTGGAGGCGGCAGCCAGTCCCGGCCGGCCAAGGCGTTCCCCCAGTAACGAGGACATGAGGGCGGGCGATATAGAGTGGAAATCATTTCCTCTCGAATGTCGATGCGCGACCCGCCCCCGCCCCCG